GCAAATCTGCAAGTGAGTTCGAAACATGGCGTACTCGATAGAAAGTCACCGCATTAAAGCGCTCTATCAATTGATCTAGGTAGGGTGATGAATTATCACGATACTACGCGGAGAAAAGTTTTTGAGTGTTACTTCTTCCAAGGATGTAAAGTTGCTAATTCTCTGCTCAAAGCATCTAATCACCCATGAAGGCCGTCGACCCATCTACGGTCACTCCACCGTAGGCTCTCACTGTGGGGCAGCTGACCCTGCAATGTTCTAAGACTTGCGCGATAGCTTCACCAGTTCATAATTTTTTGAAGTGGGTCAGCGAAAATCTTCTGGGTTCGATCCTCTTCCCGTCATGCCCCAAAAGTCCCTCAGTAGTCGGCCGAAACCCCTCACGGAGTGCTCCTAATTGCCAACCGGCGATTCGATCGATAGTTAGCGAGATAGGAGGCGTCTTCGTGTGACTCGAGAGGAAACGAAGAGGAGGAAGAAGCGTCCTTTCGCGGCAAGTGTTCCTGACTCGTCCGTCTCGTGGCTAAACACACACATCGACTAGAGAACACATGGCAGAAGGGGACGCAGCGCAAGCCATGCTCAGTCGGCTGACGCTCAACCGGTTCCGGAAATCGCTCACATTCCGTAAAATCTCTCAGCACAAACGGGAAAAGCGCTCGGCAAAGAAAACAAAAGTACTTGCCACTGAAGAACGTTGTGCTAAAGTGCGTCTCTTCAAAGAACTAGATAGATAGGTAAATTCCTAGATAGCCTGTCGTCCCATAGTCAGAATCTTGTGCTTGCTGTTCTTGTACAACAACGGTACCTAAAGGCGTTGCTCATCTCTTGGATACGGTAGTTTACGGTATAGCAGCTGCGATCATGGTCTGGTAGATCCTATCTCGTTGTTGAAATGATGTGAAAGCTGTGCACTTATGGCCGACAGCGAATAACTTTGGGCGATTCGTCACCACGCCTAAGCAACTGTTCAGCCGATGAATGAAATGGGAATGTTCTTAATTTCATCATGAGACAAAACGTTTCTCGCAATCAACTAAGGCTTCTCGTAAAACAAGAAGCTGTTCGGAGAATCAAAAAACGAGATTATAGTAGCTAGTGATAGGCACTGCTGTTCCAGGAAAGCAAAGAATGATTCAGAACAATGTTCAGGTCAAGATTGCTTGGAATTTCGAGCCAAAGTCAAGGTCACCCCTCGAAACAATTAGGTATGGTACCTAAAGGCGACTATTGTTATATGCGATCAGACGGCCTGAGTGGCCATCTTATGAGCCCTGTGAATCGCAAACCTTCGAGACTACGAATTTCGAGGCATTTCAAACAATGCAACGGTCTGTGAGCTGTTTACGGTGATTGGCCTCTGTAGAGATGAATAATTACGTAACAGAGAGCTTTGCTACCGAATTTAGCAGTTGAAGAGGCGTTTACCCACAGAGTGCATTTTACTCTCTCCCCCCCCCCCTCTGTCTCCCTTCTTCCCTCACCCGATGAAGCTTACGGATCCGGCCAGTTTAGTGAATGGTCAACCTGCTACGGTGGGTAAAGGAGTAGCTTGGATCGGGATTGTAAAACTTTCATCATTTGTTGTGAGTAGTAGAACTAAACCTCATGCAATAGATTGGTAAAAGTTTCTTCCCATGATTGGACCAAATGGGGCTGCACGCCACATGTATGGCCGCTTTCGTGGTAGCTACTAAAGATCCTTTAACCCCTTTAATGATTACGGCAGCTACTCCTTTCAAAAAGAACCTCGAAAGAAAAGTTAGTCGATGATTCCATTCATGGTACCAGACATCATGGCATATAACCCGAAAAATCTCCGGTGAGTGAATTGCGTAGAGCTCCGACATTTTCTCAGTCTAAGCATGAGCTCACTTGGCTTGCGAGTGCATTCGCTTGAGCTTTCGCAAGACTACAGAACTCTATTACTGACGTTCCGGTTTCCTTCCTTCTCTGGGAACTTAAAGTGGGAAACCAGTTGAAGTAACCTCCCCATATGAGTAAATTTTATCCAAGACGTTTCTCTGATCCGAAAGATTTCTTCAAGCCTGACCACGAGAGTGCTACCCGGCTTTCTTCCATCTCAATCGCAATAGCGCTAGTTCGGCCAGCCAAGGATGAATTCTCGCGGTGAGCAGGCCCACCTCATTCTTGACCTCACAGTAATTCAAATGGCGAGGCCTAAACGTCAGCTCATTGAATGATCAGAACTTACAAAATGACATCTTGCGGTTTTGATACCAGTGCCCCGTCATATGGTTGTTATAAGAACTTTTACTTCATCAAACACTTTAAATATCACATTAATAGACCAAGATGAGCAAAAAGCTCAGTTTTTAATAGGCCTAGTGAAGTCATTATATCGATTTGTATAAAATTCAACATGAAAGAGAATTCTTCATCTTCAGTCTTCTTCACTCAGTTCCGGTGTATAAATTTTCTTCATTTTTGCATTGTACCCTCTAAAATATGGCTATGACCTACATATTTCAGCTCATTAGCGGCCAGACTTATTCCTAAGTTTTAACCATGATATTCTTAAGTCCCTGCTTAGACTGGGTAGGGGCAGCTCACTTGACCTAGCTCAACAACAATAAAGATAAACGCGGTAGGAGAGTGAGCCCTTCAAACCTTATGAGCTTCCTATTACCTCAATGCAGCATAGTCTTTAATAGAATATGTCCAGCAACCATAGCGGATCAGTTCGATTGATTTCAGAACTCTGAGCTGACAGTACGCTATGGAATCCCCACCTTCTTCTTAGATCACGAGCTTCGACAGGCTCTTTTCACCCTTTCAGCCCCACTGAATAGTACTGGCCGTCAGTCAAAGCAGTACAGTAGCGGGGTTGGCTCTGTTGAGGTTCATACTCTTCCCCAGATTTCTGCCAAATCACTCTGTTTCCCGATCAGA